AACAGGGAGAGACTCTCCTGTGCTCTCAGCACTCCCCCTGCTGGTGTTCAGGCAGTGTGGAGGAGGAGGAACAACATAACTCAAATGCAGAGGCCTGAGGATCAGAGATGGGGGGGACAAGAAATTGGTGCAGGTGCAGACTTAGAAGGATAGGATCAGATGGGGTTCATGCTTGGAGGGGAATGGAATAGGAGCAGGGGAGAACAGATTAGAGGAGGAGGACAGGCTAGGAGGTGCAGAGTTGGGGGAGCTAGAAACAGAGGTAGACTGAGTGATAGGAGCAGAATGAAAAAGAGGGGGGTGCTAGGGGACAGGAACAGAAGGGGACAGGGCTGGAGTAGAAGGGAAATAAGGGATGTGTGGGAGGAAGAAGAGGGGAGGCTGCCTTAGGCTCTCCTGCCTCTTCCACTCCTCACACCCCACTCCCTGCCCCAAGCCTTCAGGCTCTTTACTTCATAGTCTGCTCCTCATTGCCTGTGATTCCCACTAGGTTATAATAAAGGCCAAGTTACACAGTTCAGTGTAAGATTTCAGTCTACAGAAAATACCTGATTTTATGGTGTGGAAGAGAGAATGGATTGAGAGATGTCAGTAGTAACTAACTAGAACTGTGTTAATCATATTAAGAAGATACAGTTTTACATTACTGATCTATAAATATCTTTCTGACTTCATTTATTTTTTTAAAAAGGATCTAGCATACAGCAACTCTTTGCTAGTCCTGGTATATGCTTAAAAATTATATCAACCTACATTGCTCAGGGTTGTGAAAAATGGTGCTCCCTGAAAAATGGTGCTCCATGTTAGCTAGACTGACAGAAGAATTTTTCTGTCAACATAGCTGTGTCTACACTAAGTCCATCCCAATACAGCGCTGTATTGGGTTGGACTTAGTGTAGACACAGCTATGTTGACAGAAAAATTCTTCTGTCAGTCTAGCTAACACCTCTCAGAGAGCTGGATTAACTACACAGATTGGAAAAACTCCTTTCCTCAATGTAGGAAGTGTCTATGCTACAGTGCTTCAGCAGCAGTGTTGTAGCTGTACCGCTCTAGCATCTGTAGTGTAGACATACCCCTAGACTTTTTGAGTTATGCATTGTACTAAGTTCTTTAATGCCAGCTTCAGGACACTAATCATCAATAATCAAGTGGTTGGGAGGAGTTGAAGTCTTTGATCCTTGTTTGGGATAGCTTTATCTACAGAGCTAGGCAGAGAAAGGCCTGTCTCCAGTGAGGAGAAGCCCTAGACTCAGAAGGTGGAATGAACACAGGAGAGTTTGGTACGTAAAATAAATAATATGTTGGAGGAATATTTAAACTTATAAATGGGGAAAGCCGACTGTAGCTGAGGAGCACACAAGTCAGAGTCATCTGATAAAGATGGTAATACAGTGGTATCTGCGAATCCAGTAAAGGATAGGGTGCAAATTACAACTGAACTAGAGCACAGAATAAGGACACAGAGGTAAATTCTGCAAACTCAGCAAGGTGTTAGATTAAGGTGTTAAATAAAGACAGGCACTTCATCCAAATAAAAACTGTAAATGTCTATATCCAAATTCAAGAAGATTAAATAGTAAAATAAGCAAACCGGAATGCCTTGTACTGGATGAGGACCTTGATATAACATGCATTACAGAAATGTGGTGGGAGGATAAAAGCCAGTGGGGATATGATAATACCTGCACAGGAAAGACAGACTAGACTGAAGTGTTGGGAGAGTAAGGTTGTATATAAGGGATTTCAGAGAATCTAACAAGATAAAAATTCTGAGTGGCCACACAGTTGAATCTTATATGGCCACAAATTTCAACCTGAAAAAATTATAAATATATTAGTTGGGCAGTACTAGTGATCTCCAGATGAAGAAAAGGAAATTGAGTGCATAATGTTGAAAGATCAATGAGGCAGTGAAATCTAATGATAACGTACAAATTGGTCAAATGGCACAATGGAACCGTCTTCAGAGAAACAATTTCTCAGAGCTTAAGTGATTGCTTCTTGAGACAGCTTGTTCTAGATCACACAGGAGCAGAAGTTATTCTTGGCTTAGTCTTAAGCAACATAGAGGCTAATTCAAGAGGTGACCATAACTGACCCACTAAATAACAGTGACTGTAATCTAATTAGGTCCAGTATCTGAAGAGCAGGTAGCATACCAAAAAGTCACAGTGACACTACACTATAGAGAAAGAGATTTCAATAAAATGAGATGGGTAGCCAAAAAGGCCCTAAATTTAAAAGTAAAGGAAGTAAAATCAGTGGATGTGACTTGGATGCTACTAAGAAGAACAATAATAGTCACAGAAGATGTGAATACTGCTGAATAAAAAGGGAACCAGGAAAGCAAGGAGGAAACCATTATGGCTAACTGGCAAAGTTCGAGAGGCTATTTGAGCCAAACAGAAATTATTCAAAATGTATTTATCTGACCATAGTGAAGTCAATGAACAGTAACATAAATTACAGCAGGCATTAAGAAGGAAGAAAATGAGAGAGGCTGAAGTGGAGTTTGAAAAGCAAATAGCTAAAGGTACAAAAACAAGCAGGAGTTTTTTCTTTCTTTTTTTTTTTTTTAATGTATCAAAAGTAGGAAGCCTGTGAAAGAATCTGTGCATCTGCTGGATCACCACTGATTAAAGGGAGTAATTAAGGAAGATAAGGATGTTGCTGAGAAGCCAAGTGACTTCTTTTTATCAATATTCACTACCCACAATGTTGGGAAGATTCCTAGCCTGAGCATGCTTTTTCATGATAACAAAGATTATATACTCTGAGAAGAGGTGGTGGAGCAAAATGGTAATTTAAAATAGAATCCGGCTCCAAGCCCAGGTGGTACATTCAGGAATTCTAAAGGCACTCAAGTAGGAAGTAGCTGAGCTGGTAACAATACATTTTTATTAAAACATTTACTGTTCTAGTGGATTGGAAGGTAGCAAATGTTGCATCCATAAAAAGGCCATTGGAGTGATCCAAGGAATTGTAGAATGGTTAACCTTACATCTATACATGGTAGGTTGGTGATTTGACAATTATAAATAAAATAATAAAATGTCTGGAAGCTCTTGATCTGCTAAGTCTAATCAGTATGGATTCTGCAAAGGAAAATCATATCTCATTCTTTGAATGTATCAGTAAAGCAGTGGATGAAGGAGAACTAGATGACATAATATAATATATGTAGAATTCCAAAAAGTCTTTGAAAAGTCCTCTGCAAGAGGCTACTAAAGAAACTAAGTAGGCACAGGGTGAAAGGCAAAGTACTGTCTTGGATCAAAAATTGGCTAGGAGACAAACCAGAGTAGGATTAAACGGTCAATTTTCAACATGGCAAAAGGTTAACAGCTAGGTCTCTCCATACAAGGTCTGGTGTTGGTTTAATATATTTATTAATGGTCTGGGAAAGGTGGTGGGGGAAGTGAGTAGTGAGATAGCAAAACTTGCATATGGCACACAGTTATTTAGATTAGTTGGGACCAGAGAAGACTGTAAGGAACTACAGACAGACCTAAAGCTAGGTGAATAGTTAATATGATGGCAAACAAAATTTCACATCAACAAATGCAAAGTTATGCACATTAGAGGGAAAAAAATTAAACTACTTTTACATCTTAGAGGATTTTAAATTAAGTTTATCAACCCAAGAGAGCAACTTTGGTGTCACTGGTGACAGCTCAATGGAAATGTGCAGTGTGCCAAAAAGCCAACAAGATGTTTGGGTAGCCAAGGAATGGAGGATAATATTGAAAACATAATCCTTTTTATACAATCAATGCTTCGGCCTCAGCTGAAATACTTTTGTAATACTTGTCACCCCAACTCAAAAGGGTATGGCCGAGCTGGAAGAGGTTCAGAGAAGATTGATGAGAATAATCAAAGGCCTGGAAAACTCTCAAAAGATTGGGATTGTTTGCCTTGGAAAGGAGATGAATAAGATGGGGCATGATAAAAATATATAAAATAATAAATGATGTAAAGAAGGTAGATCTCAAAGTCATCTGTTCTCTTTTTTAACTAAGATCAGGCCATGTTCACTGAAATTAAAAGGTAGAAAATTCAAAACCAATAAAAGGAACTAATTTTTTCAGTCAGCATGTGATTAAATTGTGGAAGTAATTGCCACAGGAAGTTGTTGATCCAAAGAATTTATTAGGATTCAAAAAAGGATTATATATTTACATATCAATATCCAAAGTTTTTGTTAATGACAGTGCATTTAGAAATTATATTAAACCTTGGACTTCATGATTTAAGCAGATCTCTTTCGTGGTGGGGAGATTTTTCCACATGTGTCTAATGCAGGCAGGTATTATGGCTAAGGCTGCGAGTCTGTCACAGAGATCACAGATTCTGTGATCTCCGTGGCTTCTGCAGTGGCTGGTGTGGTTGGCCCAGGGGCTGCCAGAGCTGCTCAGGCTCCCATGGGCTATGGTTCCCAGCCAATGGGAGCAGTGGAGCTGGCATTTTGGGCAGGGGCAGGGCCTGCAGAGCCCCCCCGGCCATGCCTCCGCCTAGGAGCTGAGGAACATGTCATTTCCGGGGAGCCGTGTGGAGCTGGGTAGGGAGCCTGCCAGCCCCTTAGACCTCCCCAGCACCAGTGAAGGCCCTTGGCCACACCCCTCCCCTGAACACCCATGGTGCCCCCAGGCCACCCCCCTCCAGAGCACCCAAGTCATGCATGGACAGGTCATGGGTTGTGAATTTTTGTTTACTGCCTGTGACCTGTCCATGACTTTTACTAAAAATACCTGTGACTAAAACGTAGCCATTGTCAGAGACAAGAAACTGGACTAGATAGACTGTTGTTCTGAAACAATATGGTAATTCCTATATAAATGTAATATCCAGCCAATTATTTTGAATCAGTTTATGTGCAGAACACATTAATTTCTACTTTTCATGTATGAATGAATATTTATGTACAGTATGTCCATCTCATTGTTACTCTGTAAAATATATTTTTATGTTTAAAAAAGTTTTTTTCTTTCCCCAACCAGGACTATGCACTGAAGGCCTTTACCGTGTTAGTGGGAATAAAACTGATCAAGACAACATTCAGAAACAGTTTGATCAAGGTAATTGTAGCTGGTTTTCCTGGTACAGCAATAAGTCTCTTCTCCAGAATTATTCTTAATAGCTGTTTTTGGAAGGGAATTGGGGTTCAGTATTGGTCACTCTAGCATCCTGCTGTTATAAATTAAATATTATTCATAAGAACTCAGGTACTTTGTTTTCTAATTTCTTTTAGATTGCTCAAATGAATGTCGTTCGTTCTTGAGTTCTTCTACTTCTAACAGTGTATTTTAACATATCCCCTTTACTACTCCTAAAGCGGAACACTGATTTTGGAAGTGAATTAAAATAAAGTGAATTAAACCCACTTTAATTCTGAATGTTTGTCCACATGGGTTTAATGCAGTTGAACTAATCCACTGTAAATTGATACCTTTAGTTAATTTGGATTAATTTTCCTGAGTGTTCCCATGTAGACAAGCCCTTAGTGTTAGTGAAGAATCCAAGAGCACTCCTGTCTGTTACTGGTCACTGTGAGACAGGATGTTGGTTAGATGAACCACTAGTCTGATTTGGTATGGCAGTTCTTATGTTCTGACTGACATTTCTCAACTGTAATTTGCCAAAATACCTCTACTTCCTTTATAGCTTAACTGTTGTATTTTTGGATAAATATTTATATTTATTAGTATTTGGCATTCATGTTCTAATTAAAAAGCAAGATGTATGACTAATGAGGATTCTGTTATTCTAGTGAATTATATTTTGAGTAATCTTGTTAAAATGTTAAATGTAGGTAGTCCACTTCCAGTGCAATGTAGAGCCTTTATTCATCTTGTTAGAATGTACTTGAATGCAAATAGTGTATTGTGGTTATAATCTGGATCTCCAAGGGAAGATGTCCTGTATTATTAGTAGTATTTATTATTATTCCTCTCTGAACTTCACCCTGTAATATACTGCCCCAGTCATGTATATAGAAACACTCTGACCTTGATTCCCGCAGTAACATTCATCATAGACAGTGGCAAGAGTAAATTAGATTTTTTTCTCTGCCACATTGAAGCCAACATCTTCTGTACAGAATATATAAATCTATATATTAAATATCTATCTAAAATATCTTAGTGCTTCAGCTGTATAGGTACATTAGTGGATTTACTCACGTTTGGATCAGAGCATGATTGCAGGCATGTATTTGCCTAGTGGTGGACCTTTTCATTCAGTTACTTTTGGAATAGAATTTTTGGTGGTATATCCTTTTTTATATTATAGATACTTTTTAAAAATAAGGTATGTGCAGTGACAGCTGTTGGTTTTGCTTACACTAATAAATTGCTGTTTCATTGTGTCTCACAGATCATAATATCAACCTAGAATCTATGGAAGTGACAGTAAATGCTGTGGCAGGGGCTCTTAAAGCTTTCTTTGCAGATCTGCCAGATCCTTTAATACCTTATTCTCTACATCCAGAGTTGGTAGAAGCATCAAGTAAGTAGTAAATCTAGTCTCTTGTTGATTATGTTCTGTGGTTATCTTATTGTAGGTTTTAAATTCATTATATTTTGACATGACTAGCTCTTGTGAAACTGAATTTTTTAAAATAAATTGGTGCTCTCTGGTGTGTCTGTGCAGTTTTAAAATGACATTCTTTAAAATGAATGAGCACTATTACATAAAGAAGTAAAACCTTTAATTAATATCTCAGACCAAATTGTGATTTTATTCTTTGTCTTATTTGGATAATTCATTTAATTGAAAGAATTAGCTTCGCCAGTCTGTAGTAAAGTTGAAGATGAAATTTATAGAATAGTAATAGAAGCATGCATGAAATAAATACTTAGTTCAAAAAGGTTTATAAGTTAAAATATTTAATATTCATTTTATTTGGGAATGTTCCCAAATTTGTTTATTAAAAAAACCCAAAAACTATACAGTGTTAAATCTGTTTACCTTTCAGTTATGTTTCATACACTTACAGCTGAAAAGCATAACTTTTATGGATCTCCCCCATTTGAAGGCCTTCTTTGAATCAGATTAGGTCAGGGAATTGGATTGCAGCAAACTATTCCATAAACGTAAGCCAATGTTACATATTTTTGCAGGGTGGAACTATGACACAAATAGTATTGTTTTCTTATCCAAAACATGACAGTATATTCATCACACTAAATCTGGAAACTTGGTACGGAAGACCAGCTAGATTAACCTACCTTTTAACACATGTATCTTTGTATGTTTTGGCTTTATCTAGTTGATATCCATAAATACTTTATTTACAGGAAAAGCTGTTCTTCTTCGAGTAGTGTCCCTATGGGTGCTCCACTTTAGGTGTCTGTGTGCCCCTGCATCTCTAATGGGAAATTTTTGGTAGCAGTGTCCAGTTGAGCCCACGTATGTGCTCTCCCTCCCTCTTTGTCTGCCTTGAGGCTATTTAGCACTGCACGGGCGAACCCCCCTCACTTCCTTCTCTACCGCCTTTGGCCTCTGACAGAATGAGCAGTTGTCCCTTCCTTATCTGTGTCATTAGCATAAGTAGTGTTTGTTTTGTTACCTTTGTTCTTCCTAAAAGAACTCAGGCTAGTATTTTATTGTATTTTATTGTGTGTTGTTCCTTTGGCTTAAAAAGAAAAGAGAAAAAGGAGAAGAACTTCACTTTCCTTCCCTATCTGGGGGCATTCTCCCCCCCCCACCCGCTCCTAGGCATCTAGTAGACTCATAATTATTTTCTTTTTCAGTTTAAAAAAAAAAAAAAAAGTAAAGACTGTTCATAAATTAAATTTTATTGTTGCAGAATAATAATCCCAATTTGGAAACAGATTTAATGCTGTGCTGTATGGCCCTGCATTTCAAATTTGTTTTTAGTAATAAAATCATGCAGATAACATTTTAATGAACTAGATGCCAAATGGCATTAACTCCACAGAAAGTGTTTGCATGTTCAGGGCAGAGTGGAAACTCCCTGGTGCCTACATATTGTTTAATTGTAGCATTATTTTGAGTCTGGTTTAGAGACTATTTGTTCCCTGTTTTTAATAAAGTATTACCAGTCAGAAGAATAAGGTAAAAATATTATGTACACTAACAGTAAAATTGATGGATCAAAATTGATGGTTGTTTTTTTTGTTGTTTGTTTTTTTTAAAGTAATAATCCTAACACCATCTAAATAGGAAAACATACCAGAAGTCTCTTCCTCCATATGACAAACGCTGAGTTCCTGGCCCTAAACACAATTCCATTTCAGTCCTTTTTAAGCTGTAAAACAGCATCACTTCCTTTAGCAATATCATTTGGCCAGTTGACCCCACTCTCTCTCAATTTTTAAAACTCAAGAAATTTTCGCATATACATCGTGGGCTACCCAGAGAAATGCATGATGGCATCCTTTATGTTCCAGTTCTTTGAACTTTCATTCAATCAGCCTTTGAAGAAATTATGGATAATTATTTTTGTCTAACCAACTGTCTTCTAGAGAATCAAGAGGGAGCTTCAGTCCTTTTGCTGCAATTGCAACTTTCAGCAGTACTAAAACTGCCAGTCCTGTTGCTCCACTGGGAGCCACAAAATATTTCCCAAATATCAGACAAAGAGGGTACCTTAGTCATATCACTTCCGAGAGAGATTAGCAAAAAGAAAAGGAGTACTTGTGGCACCTTAGAGACTAACCAATTTATTTGACCATAAGCTTTTGTGAGCTACAGCTCACTTAAGCTCGCTTATGCTCAAATAAATTGGTTAGTCTCTAAGGTACCACAAGTACTCCTTTTCTTTTTGCGAATACAGACTAACACGGCTGTTACTCTGAGAGAGATTAGGTCCATTCCAATGGCTCTTTCTATTACTGCTACCTTAAACTTTTTATTTTATATTGAATGATCTTTCCTTATGTGCCAGTCCTTATATCTAAACACCAAGAACTCACCCTAAAATTACAAATTTATTTCAAATAATTTCTGCAGCTGCTGTTTGCAAAGGTTTGGATAAACTTGTGATTGCTATCCATACAGAAAAATTAGCCTATGTACATTGCACTTTTAATAGTGTGGGGAAGGCTTCTCTGTTAATTTACTCTCTAGACTGTTGTCCGTACTTGCTCTTTAAAATTTGTATGTTTGCCTGCTTCTGCTAGTTTCTACCTTTTTCTCTTTTAAACTGAGTGGTTTTTAAATTCTCTGTCCCAGGCTCAATCATGTTATTTCACCAGTTGGACTAGTTGATGGGCTTAACATATTTTCAGTTCATGGGCATAAATCATGCATTAGAACAACCTCTCCCCAAATTTTGGGAATCTTCTGTCTCTGAATAAAAGTCTTATAAAATATTTTGGGTAGTAACAGTGAAAACAGAGAGGAATCTGACAGGAAATCTGACTCATAAGTGAGTTACTGATGATCATCTCACAAGCCAACAATGAGCTATTAAAATGATTTTCCAACATTAAACACAGATAAATAATTTTATCAGGCACCGACTGTGTTCTACCTATGATAGAGAAGTAGAACTATACAATAGTTCGTCTAGATACAATTCTTCATGTAACTGTCAAATACTGTTTCTCACCTTGGCATTCCTTTCCAGTATGGATGCTTTCTGTCCCTACAAACTCATGAGACGAATTGGCAGCACCATTTGTAAAGGTTTCCTTTTAAATATATAGGGAAAATTGGTGTTTTGCTATTATCTCTACAGAGATCTTGGATAAGACAGAACGACTGCATGAGCTAAAAGAAATTGTGAAGAAATTCCATCCTGTGAACTACGATGTCTTCAAATTTGTAATAACTCATCTAAACAGGTTTAGTATTGTTATCACTACTAAAAATCTATTTAATAATTACTGAATATTTTATATGGTCTTATCACTCATCTGTCAATAAAAATATTGAATGCATGACCAAACTGATACTAAGGGCAAAAAAAAAGGAATGCAAGAAAGTGGATTTGAAACGTAAGTTAATTTGAAATGAAAAGAGTTCATGGTTTGTGTAATAGGTTTGCCTTACTCTATCTTATTAAATTGTGATTAATTGAAAAATAAACTGTGATTTATTGAAGTAGGATAATCTGACACTATCACTATTTTGTGGGATATAAGAAATTTTGCTCTACCTTGAGTAAATGTCTCTGTTGAAGAGACAGTTGCGTGCAACACTTGTAGATTTGGGAGTTATTTAATTAAAATTCAGCACAAAACCATACAATGAACTAAATAACATAAGAATGCAATAAATATTTAATCTACTGTCATGTTCTGCAGTCTAGATCAGTAAGGGGTTGTGTCACTGCCTGCTTTGTAACCCTCGTGCCTTAAATGCTCTGTTGCTGTGGCTTACAGTCTGCAGACAAACATGCAGTATCATGAGTGTGTGTGTGCTGTGGAGCCCTGGTTCTCCGAGTAGATGCAGCTGTGTATTTTACTTAATGTGTGCATACCCAGTTCACAGGAGCTGGAGAACTTTGCCTAGCGGTACCTGTTATGAGCACACTCATATTCTGTGACTTTTTAGCCTCTCCCCAGGCCATATAAGGGCAATGCTGTCCCGACTCCCTCCGTACGTTCTGACCACTTGTGGATAGTGACAGAGTTCCATGTGATGTTTTTCACCTTCTGCTTTCGGTCTCAGTTTCTAAGAATTTTTTCTTGAATATAGTACCACTTAGTTTAAGTTTAGTGTTAGTATAGTATTAGTTTGAATTGTTGGCTGCCCTGTGTGTTTAAGCATTGTCTGTCGTAGGGTGGGTGCGGGGGGCATCCCCAACAGTGATCCCCACATAAGGTGCTTGTGTCTTGGTGAAGGACACATTAAAGAGTGGTGCACCATCTGCAAGTCATTCACAGTGAGGACTCGGGTGGTGAGAGACAAGCACCTGAAGGAGGCCCACTTAGATGAGGGCTTCAGTGCCAGACTGGCAGTCACCTTCAGATCTGGCAAGTGATTCTGCTCCATGCTTGGGCTCTGGCATTTTCCCAAGAAGAAAAAGCGGTTGTTGTTTTTCCTCCTCTGGTATGGCGAGGAAGAGATCCCATAAAATGAATCCGGACCATTCCAGGGCTTGAGGAGGCTTCTCCTGATATTCTGAAAGGAGCAGTGTACTCCCACCAGCACACAGGATGGAGCAGTATCATCTAACTGCTTCCTGGTACCACTAAGAGAGCCTGTAGTGTTGACTCTGGTTCTGGTCATGGGGCATTCATTGAGTCTGGTACCAATGATGTTGGCACCACGCAACTGTCTCAATGCTGGCAACATAGCAAACAGCATCGACCTTCTTTGCCTCTCAGTCCCAGACTCTCCACTGGTTCAAGAGTTGGCTGGTGATATGGCCTCTGCAGCCTTGTCCTTTCTTGTGCCTTTGGCATCTTGTGGCCATGTTGCAGAGCTCCTGGGCTCGTCATCACCAGAGCACCATCTGGGCCTCAGACTGTGGAGTTGAGGCCAACATTGGGCCCAGTACTGAATGGCCCCTGATGTGGGTGCATCCTTCAGCACCATCATCATGGCAGCAGATTCCTTTGTCAATTTCAGTGCTGCCCTTAGTATTGATACTGGTGCCTCTCCTAGTACTGGATGGGACTCTCTCTCTCATTCAGTACTGCCGTTGCTGATCACCCATTCCTCTTCAGCACCGATGCCGCCCCCATATTGGACTTTAGATGAGTCTGTTTGCTCCGTTGTCACCAGAGAAGCTCCAGGACTACTGAAGCTCCAGGTCCGTGTCATCCTACCCTTCGTCATCAGATTGGCATCACAGATCCCCCTCGATCACCATCAGTACGGAGATGGGCATCTGTTCTGCATTTGGGACAGGGCTCTTGGCCCAGTGCCTATTGGCCAACAATGCCTAAACTGTATGCCCAGTGGCCTCCTTGGAAGCCCTCGGATGCTTCTTTGCTCCTGAGGTCCCACTCCTTGACCTACATCAGAGCAAGATACCTGGTCCCACTGATGGCTCCCACTCCCAGGCCATCTCGGCTGCAAGCAACTGCTGAGCTTGTTTCCCCCTGGACCTCCGGAGTTATTGCGATCAGATCCCATGGTGCAAGAACAGTACCCGTCGCTGATGCACCAAACCTCCTCCCTGGATGACTGTCCTGTACCAGATCCTTTCTCTCCCTCAGTGACCTAAGGATTTTAAGTCTTATCAGGACCTCCTAAGGCATATGGCCACTACCTTGGGTATTCTCCAATCATTAGCTTCAGGGAGACTCTCCCTCCTGATGAATGAGGCTCTTTTGGAGCCTGTAGAAGCCCTCTGGAATACTGCAGCTTCATTGCCTCCCATGGCAAAGCATTCAGAGAAGCGGTATTTCATTCGCATGCCAGGTTTTGAGGGTTTCTACTCCCATCTGGCTCCTAACTCTCTGGTGGAAACTGCAGCAAATTACAGGGCATGGCAGGGAAGGTATAAGTCCACCCCTAAGGACAAAGAGTCCAAAAGGATGGACTTAATGGGGAGGAAGATTTATACTTTCTCTTCCATGCAAATGTGCATTGGGAACCATCGGGTGTTGGTCTCTAAATATGACTCTTGTCAATTGGGCAGCCATGTATATAGTTTGTGGATAAGTTGCCAGAATCCTCCCAGGGAATAGTTTATAGCACTCATTGCAGAAGGCCATATGGTGACCAAGACTGTTGCAGTTAGCTCTGGACATGGTAGATGCCGCAACCAGAGTTACAGCATTGGCTGTGACCATGAGGAGGGCTTTATGGCTGCAGAATTTGGGCATTGCACATGAGATGTAGCAGACCATTGGAGACTTACCGTTCGATGGTTGGGATTTATTTTCAGGAAAAAAATGATGAAACCCTGCACTCTTTTAAAAACTCCATAGCTAAGTCCTGTTCTTTGGGAGTATATACTCTGGCCATAAAGAGATGCCACTATTGCGGTCAACACAGCAACGTTTTTTCGGACAGTTCTCCCTTCCTGTAAGGAAGAAGGACTACTCCTGGAAGGGCCACAGATCCCAGAAGAGAGGGTTCTCTGGTTCTGGGTTTAACCTGCCAGCTCTCCCATTCCCCCATTTCCCTCTCTCCCCAGCATCCAGCAAGCGCCTATTTTGACTCTAGTGTCCAGGACTGTAACCCAGTGATGACCTCTCTTTCTCCTTTCCATCTGTTTTGGGCACAGGCTAGCTTGTTTTTATCATATCTTGGACTCAGTTACCATGGAAAGCTGGGTCCTAAGCACCATCAGATTGGGTTATGCCATACTGTTTCTTTCCATCCCTCCTCCCGACCCACTGCCTTTTCAGGGACTTCTCTCATGAGAATGTGCCCCTCAAGCTGGTTCAGTCTCGGTTGGCCCTGGGGACTATAGAGGAGGTTCCCCGGCAGCACTGGGGATGGGGGCTTTCCTCCCAATACTTCCTGGTTTCCAAACCCAAGGGAGGGAAGAGATCTGTCCTTGACCTCTTCAATCTCAACAAATATATATGTGAGATTCTGTATGGTCACCCTAGCAACTATCCTCTCCGCCTTAAATCACAATTTCTGGTTTGCTGCTGTGGACCTGTGGGATGCTTATTTCCGCATATCAATTGTTCCGAGCCATGGGAGGTTCCTCATGTTTGTGGTAGCTGTCCAGCACTACCACTACAGTCTGCTGCCTTTCAGCCTATCTTCTGCTTCCTGGGATTTCCCAAATACATGACTATGGTAACAGAATGCTTCAAGAAGAGGGGTATTCATATCTTTCCATATCTGGGTGATTGGTTACTAAGGGTGAAGTCCAGAGAGGAAGTTTTCTGTCAGGTTCACTTCACACTATGCCTACCTGGTCTTCTCAGTCTCCTCCTAAACAGCGGAAAGTCAACATTGGTTCTAACTCAAAGAATCAAGTTCATTGGGACACTGATGGACTCTACAAGTTCAAGAGCATTTCCACCAGCTGAGTGATTCCAGGCAATCCCCACCTATGTCTGGAGCTGCAGACTCAACCACAGCCTGAATATGTGTGCAGTTGCTAGGCCATATTGTTGCATGCACACACGTCGTCCAATATGCAAGTGTGTGCCAATGTCCTCTTCAGAGGTGGCTGAAGTTGGTTACCTACCTGTAACTGTTTTTCCTTGAAATGTGATGCAAATGTATATTCCATGACTCCTGCTCCATGCCGTCTGCATCAGAGTCTGTACTTCTGATGTTCTGTGTGAAAGAACTGAGGAGATTGGGGCAGTACCACCTTTATATGGCCAGGGGAGGGGCTAGGGCACAGGACATGAGCACTGCCCCTATGAATACTGCTAGGCAGTGTTTTCCAGCTCCAGTGTGCTGGGTGCATGCACACACACATAAGTAGAATACATGTCTGCATCACATTTATAAGAACAAGTTACAGGTAAGTAACCGTTTGTTCAGCTCTCTGACCCTAGCAGCCTCTTTACAACACAATAGTTCCATCCCTGGTTTCTACAAGTTTTGGTTACACCTGGCAAGATGACCCCAACACGCCTACAATCCCAAATTTGCCCAGAACTGTCTGCCCTGAAGTCTGCAGTGCTCCCCTGGACTACTCAGAGAAATCAGAAGGTACGTTTGCTTCTTTAAAGAGACAATACCCAGCAGCCTACCAATTTAACTGAAGTTAACAGTTCAGTTCAAACACAGCACTGGGTTGGGTTAGATGAAAAATAAAACAAGTTTATTAACAACAGAACATAGTTTAAGTAATGCTAGGTAAAATAAATAAAGGTAAAGATGGTTAGTAATAGGAGTGAAGATATGAACCTAAAAGTCTATAACTTAATCTAGCAAGGTACGGTCTCTAGGATGGTTTCTCTCACCAATT